CTCTACTTGTACAACAGCATCAGCACCATCAGGTACAGGTCCTGGAGAAAAAAAAAGTAACTTCAGATTCAGAGCCAACAGTGACACAAATCTTGCCAACGTGTCAAATACTTCTTCTGATCTGTCCAAAAATAAACTTCACCCTTCTCCCATTTCTCTTTTAGGAAAGAAATACATGTTGTTCATAACATTTCTTTCTCTTCTAACCAAATTCCAACCACACTTTCACTTTTCAATAATTTCCGTAAACTTGGTGGAGTCAAAGTACATAAAGCCGTAAACTTCATTGCAGAACAAAGGAAGTATTATTTATATGAAGGAAACTTTAAAAAAAACATTAAAAACTTACCTAAAAATCAAACAAGATCATGCCACCCATAAGAGAACTTTTCTTTCAGATCGACTTGTTATGCAAATAAACAAGAAATGATGCCATATCCAAAATTCTCTCAAATAAAGGCCTCATAGTCAAATCATTTAAAGAACGAAAATATAGTGAGGATGAATTTCCATTGTGTAATATTTTGCATTCTAAAATAAGAAAATTCACATTATTAAAACAATGAAAAAGAAAAGTAGGCTTGGACAGGGGGGGTTAACTTTCCTCGTGCATTTAAATGTAACAAATTTCAATACAACATAGTACCAAACCTCAGCTTAACTATAAGAGACTTTTTATTCACAAATAGAATGAGAATTTGTAAGTGGAATGTGTGATGTCAAGAGAAACTTCTGTGAACCTACATGGCTTTGTTCTATAAGAACCTGTACAATGTGCAGAGCAGAGACGCAGACAGTATGTGTACGGTGTACCCACAAGTCTAATGAAATGCATATACACACGCCTAAACCACTAGCTCACCTCCAGTTGTAATATATGCAACAGTTCCAGGGGTCACAACCACACCAAGCCCATCATTTCCTGCTCTTGACTCGGTTACTACAGGATAGTCACCTGGGCCGTCCGAGGCAACAACAGCATATCCATCCTGGGAATGAACAGGTCCTCATTACAATATTATAATGAAAAAATTCACAGCAAACTTAATGAGCTACAAGTATGAAAAATCAACAATGTGAACACATGGATCAATATAGCTCTCATTGACACCAATTGCACTTGAAGTTTGTAATTAAGTGGTCAACCGAACACGACAAACAGGACAAAGAGTATATTTAGATGCAACAACATCGAATTTCAATTCCGTGACGGTTATCCAAAAAACTCTCTAAATTTTGTGTTGACTGCATGTGAATTCAACTCAGAGTGGCTAAAATTGAGCATCTGTGTGACCTCGCTTCCTCACAAAACCCATTGATGTTTAACTTTTGCAGACATGGAGAACCCTAGGTGTTGAGACTTGAGACGCAATCCCACAAACAAGTTAGTGGAAGCATAATTACTAAATTCTAACATCATTTAGCAATCAAACAGAAGGAAACTCTCGCTGGCTTACATATATTGAATGGCGTGTGCGTGTGGGAGTGGAAATGGACCTTGATAGAGGCGGGATAGGGAGGAAGAGGATCAGGGGCAGTGATATCTTCAGCCAGTATTCTTCCTAACGCCTGGTGGAGCGACACCGTAACCGGTGGTAGACGACGAGCTGCACTGAGCACAATCTGAAGTGCCTCATCAGAAGAGATCGGCCTATCACTCATGTTCCAATTCTGAGCGGCGCCGTTATTACTCGTGTCCCAATTCTGTAAGCGACCAGCACTCGGCGGTGGACTTGATGTTGCCTTTATCTGCTGCTCGCTGCATCAATTGAGATGGTAGGATTTAGGGGTGGCCAAAAAAAAGTTACTACTAAGGAAAAAAGATTAAAGTAAAATGCCTCATTTTAGAGAGCTTAACCAATGCAAGTAATTATCTCTTATATGTTTCTCCGGGACGAATCTAAAATGTCTCATTTAGAGAGCTTAAATGAATCGGGCATCTTGATAATAGCTCGATTCTGTTTTTTTCTATATGGCCCTCTTTCGAACTTAAATGAATCGGGCGTCCCCGATAATTCAGGGCCCCTTTTCCAGACTTAGCTTTTTATTTTATCTATTTTTTAGGCATCTTTTATTACAGCTCCACTTCGATCGTGTGGTTAGGTCTTCCACCCCACTCCGACGTGTGGTTAAGTCTTTCCCTGAAAAGGTGGTCACTAGAGCTCTTAGTCTAGTGCATCTTTCATATCGTCCAGTCTGTATGTTTAGTGCATCACTAATCCATACGTGATGACTAGGTATGACGACGTCTAGTCTTGAAATTCTTTGGACCAAGCTTCCAACCATCATTTCTTTTTTGATTGGGCATCCAATCATCTGGTATACATCATTCGATATGACCATGAAAGTTTGTAATTCTTCCAATGGAGGTGGCGGCGGCAGGGGGAGATTTTACCGCCGAAGGTGGCGACAAATCTAAGACGCCTAGGCAAATTTCTTTCAACAGAGGTAACTTCCATTTGCTGGATTTGAGTTCTTGGCTAATGTCACGGCATGGAAGCAGTCCTCCAGTGACATCTGGAAACATGCATCAACAATGTAGATGATTTTGACCTTTCCTTTTGAGAGAGAGAGATTATTTTTGGTAAATGGATCACTTTTGTGGTTGACTGTTCTTTAAAATTCAAAATTCTCTCTAGGCTTCTGGGGTATTTTAGGAGAAATATTCCAAAAGATCACTTTTTTAAGAATTACTTCCCAAATTTGTAGTGGGATCTTCACGGACTTTGGACAACTCGATCATTGATCTTTGTATGGCCGAACTTAATCGGTTCCACGGGCGGCGCCAAATGATGGTATTAGCTGTTTCGACTGGTTTTATCATTTTTACTGCAATAAAAATGATAAACGAGCCTAACAATCACCAAAAATATAAACAAGCTATTTTTGACGTGGAAACTCAAATCGAGAGAAAACCACGGGTCTTTTCCAGCGGTACCATGCCAACGGGGAGATTTTATTAATACCGAGAGTAGTACATAGTACATAATTTTGGCATTACAGCTATTGATGGAGCGTTTTAGCTATATAAATGTGAGAGCGTATACTAGTTTTATGAGCTTGGTTCACCCATACGGAAGGTGAAGGGTTTCTTTTATATTGAGAGATGAAGTAGTTATGAAGATAAATATGGTAGGAGAGTGAATGGTGGGAGGAATCATGGTAGGGAGTGATGGGTGGAGGTAGTTATGGTAATGAGTGAATGGTAGATGTAATTAAGGAAAGTGAGTTGAATATGAGGATAGTTATGGTAGGAGGAGTAATTTGTGGCGAGTGTTTGGTAATGATAGTTATGATAATACTAATTGAGAAATTCATACCGAAATGTCCGGGCCAGATCATATTTCCAATCAATTATTATTTCTATTATTATTTTTATTTTTATTTTTATTTTTATTATTATTACTATTACTATTATTGTTACTATTATTATAATTATAATTATTACTATTATTATTATTTAACTATTACTATTGCTATTATTATTATGACTATAATTATTATTATACTCCGTAATTATTACTAGTATTATTATTATGATTACTAATACTATTATTATTATTGTTCTTATTATTATTATTACTACTACTACTATTATTATTATTTTAGTTATTATTATTATTCCTATTCTACTACCACTACAACTATTATTATTATTTCTATTATTACTATTACTATTATTATTATTACTATTATTAAGATTTCTAATATTATTATTATGACTATTACTCCGTATTATAACTATTATAATAATAATTTTATTCTTATTTCAAATCAAATTTGTATCAGATCCAATCAAATCAGATCAGATTAGATATAATCAGATCTAATTAGATCAAATCCAATCATATCAAATTCAATCATATCAGATTGGATTAGATCATAACTTCAAAAAATCAGATCAGATTAGCCAAATGGAACACAACCTTAAAAAAATCAGAATAAGCAGAACGCAGAACGCTCCTCATTCGATCGAAAAACAAACATCAATTACTTTTTAGATATGCGTTTTAGTCTTTTAGAGCAGCAGCGGTGGCAAGGGGTTTGGCTGCCATGCCATGCCACCTCAACCCAAAGCCGCACTTTTTTCTTTCTGCCTTGCAAGTCATCTTCATTTTGCCATGCATTCCATGACTTGAACGGGGCATTCCATATCCCTTTTTTATATTTTTTATATTTTTGATCAAAAATAAGCATTTTTTGTAAGGAAGTAGAATTATATTTATGATAAATAAATTTAAAAAATAATTTTTAATAATTAAAACACATCAAAAAAAATGTAAAAAGTGATAAAATAATTAATTGCCACTGTAGAGTTTGTCACTCCACTCACGTATTGCCCACGTATTGCTTGCTGACTAGACAATTTTTTATTAGTTGAAATTTGCCATTTCTATGTGTGGCATTCAATTTTTGTCTCATCATTGTCAATGCTCTTATTATATACTCCCTCCGTTCTATAATGATCTTCCCAGTTCGCAAAACGAAGAAAAATCCTAAGTTTTTTCAATCTATTTTATTTAAATATTGGTATAGAAATAAAAAATAAAACATAATATTTAAAAACTACATCAAAAGTTTAACAAAACAAGTGGTGACAAGAATATTTTATTTTATCATATAGTCCATGAAAAAACACAAATAAATATAAATTCCCGTGAAGTTGGAATAGTGCTCTGGAAAGATCATTATAGGACGGAGGGAGTAACACTAATCCCATCGGGCCCAATAACCCATAAATGAGAAACATTATAAATGTATATGTCGTGCTAATCGTGTGAGAAATTATGCTAATTCTATCTGTAGAAGCTGGTTTTAATCATACAAAAAGGAAAAAAAACACACATTATGAACGCATTTTGAGATAATTTAACTCAACCAGGCCATTCAAGCATTATTTGTCCTCCACCAAAGGGGGCTCTAAGGACAGTAAAAGCACAAAACCCAGGCGTATAAATCTGAGGAAACAAAACATAAATGAGCACATTATTATTTTGGATATGGCTATATCAAGTTTATGGTTCAGTGGCAGGAATGGCAAATGATGACCAGCTCTGCTGTCTCAAACATGAACTGAAATTGTTTCAAAATTAAAAATACAAGCTACAAATGTGATGCAAAAGGCTGTGTGCTATCAAGTATTCAAGTGTATTCATACAGTATAAAAAAAGGTAAAATTTCGTGGGAGAGAACCTGTGAGATGGGTTTGATCAATACATCAAAACCTGTGCTTTCCCTGAGAAACGGCTTTGAAACTATTGAAATCCAAGAAATTTATCAGAAGGTGGACATGGCGTCCCAAACACACCCTTGACGCGTAGAAGTTGCCGAGGCTCCCATATTCTTGCAGTTCCTGCTCAGGTCTTCGAGCATACCCGTCTCAAATACATCTTTAGCACTGAAACAATCTGTGTCCAGAGCATTGACTTGATATTAGTAGGAATTGAGTGTATTTTTCTGAAAACAAGACAGAATGTGTTGATGAGTGTATTTTTTTAACTAAATTACTCTGAAAATTGCCCCCAAAAAACTATTTTCAAAAACAAAAAAAAAATGAAGTTTTTATTTAAAACAAAAGATGCAATACAAATTCTAAGAAATTTAGTCTCAGAATTTCTAGTAATGTGATTATATTCTATCATGTTTCGGCGTTAAGGCTGTCCATTGACGAAAAATATGACTGCCCAAAAAAGGGGTTCTCAAAAATCCTCACCTGACATCATTTCAACAGAGTGAGGTTCATCTAATGAACTTCTTCCACTGAACACCGAGGCAGCAGAATGGCCCAGAGGAGAAATTGGGTCACCATATGTTTCCATGTCTGGGTCATGAAGATCATCCCCCATGTCACCAGACATCATCAAGAAACCACCACCGGAGGGCAAATTGCACTTCGTATGTGACTCATAAAGAACGGCATCAAGCAGGCCGCTGTTACTGCCACCTGATCCAGTAGTATTATTGCGTTGCTGCTCGGTAGTTCTTGGAGGGGAATGAATCAAAGTGTCAACAGATTGCATAGAAGGAGGAGGGGAGGAAGGAGATCCCCAGCTGTCCATCTGACTTTGGAATGAAGGGAGCTCTATCTTCTTTCCCCATGTGGGGTCCGAAGGAGAGGAGGTGGTGCCATTTAATAAGGCATGGCTGCCATGAGTCCCATCCAGATTTCGATTCTGATATGCATAAGATAACCCAAAGCAGGATTGTGCCATCTGTACAAAATCATTTTCGTTCTGATATGGAATAGCACTGTCATTGGCACTTAAACCAGGGAACAAAGATTGTGACCCACGTATACGTTTTGAAGGGTGAATAACTGAAAGGAGTGGCCTGCTGTTTCCATACGACGACGAAGAAGAAATGAGACCTCCTTGAGTATCATCAAGAAGTTCTTGTGAATAAAGCATCGGATTCAATTCAAAACTCTTGAATTCCACAGTTGGGATCTCAAAACTGTTGTTCTGCGAAAGATTGGGATGTTGTGAGAAGGTGCCGAAATCTTTGCTTTGTTTGCTCTCATTGAATGATTTCAAACAGATGTCAGGAGGGTAGACTGGCAAGCCGGCACGTTGCCTTCTCTTGAGCCTGGTGTTCCAATAGTTCTTTATCTCATTATCTGTGCGCCCAGGCAACTGAAAGAAAACACGGCAAAGGAATGCAAGTAAAAATACAATTACTGAGTGGTGGTAAAGTAATGCACAAAGAACTAAGAGGGGTAAGGAATACTGCGATGAAAGTTATGAAACACACAGATTTCTGAAGGATTAATCTGTTCCCCTGAAATTCTTTCTTCAAAAATCTTTTCATGAAACTTGGATGTAAAGCTCAAGTTTTGCTTATTAGAATTTGCAATCACGTACTATAATAAAATGAGTTTGAACAAATAAATATCTAACATAACCTTTTTATGTTTGAGCTTATATTTTATTTTCTCCCAAATTTTCTTCTCTATTTTCCTCATCTTGCTTCCCAAGTATTTTCGACTTCAAAACTAGAAAGATTGATTCAGGGATGATCACACGCACCTCAGCAGCCATTCGTGCCCATTTGTTTCCCATTTTAGAATGGAGGTGTATAATGTGGTTCTCCTCCTCTAGAGTAAATGATCCTTTCTTCAGATCCGGCCTTAAGTGATTTGCCCACCGCAAGCGACAGCTTTTTCCACAGCGAGCAAGCCCCGAATGCTTCTGCACAGCATTCCAGTTTCCCTCTCCGTGTTTTGTCACATAATCCACTAATATTGCATCCTCCGCCGTTGTCCAAGGACCTTTCTTCAGCATTCCACCACCACCACTACAAGCATCCTCACTTATGCTGCCTTGTGAAGTCAAAGTCATCATCTCCCTACTATTGCTCTTCATGTTTGAATCTATGAACTCAACCATTTAGACACAAGTCAAGATAAAAAGTCTGATCATCAATGTACAAGCAAACATAAAGAAAAGAAACACCATTAGAGCAAAAACGAGTTTTGAAAAATAAATTCATTTTGTTTTGTTTGGTTGAAAGTTTGAAAACTGAAAAAATAAAACTAGTTTTTTTGTTAGAACATGATAAAAAGTAGTGAGTTTCGATCTAAGAAGTTGGAGAACGATGGAAAATGTCTTCTGCCGAAAATTAAAAAAGGAAAATGACTCATTCTCGGTTGTCTCCGAAAATCATTTAGAATTGATTCCAATTTTCCGGAAGTCATTTTCCTCATTCCCGAATCGATCCTAAGCAGAAAACAAAAATAACAGCATATTTCGGCTGAAAAAATCCATGAGAGTGCTCAAATTAACCAAATACATGCCACCCTATAAGAGCAGGGGCATTAAGAATGCAATTTTTTTTGAGTAAATGAAAAACGTGATATTAAAAGAGGTGAAATTGCCTCAAGCTATATATAGATTTAAGAACAAAAGATTCAAGTTATAATTCAGATGATTTTTACTCCATATCTATCACAATGAAGCCAAAGCCTGCCCAAAAAAAGTAATACTATCAAAAACTCCAAGCTTAGATGAATCCCTGAAACTAGTAGATGCAATAAATAAGCTAATTAAATAATTATTGATTATTAATGACATAGATTAACAATTACAGAGTGCTTGAAAGACATTCACCTGATATTGCCTGAAGAAAGCAGGCTACTGTCTCTTTAGTTTGGATCGAGTGAATCAGACCCCAACTCAGATTAATCACCTTAATCCTAGAAATCCAAACTCCCCCCGGAGAAAAAAAACCAATTTTACAAAACAAATTAAAAAAGAATGATGCAAACGAGTGAAATGACACCCTATAAAGGCAAAAAAAACCAAACCCAGAATGGATCCGGTATGAATAGAAACACGTGAAATCAATGACAAAAAAACCAGCTCAAAAATCTAAGAAAAGAATAGAGAAATCCAACTAGAGAGAAAGGGAATTAGGGAAATCAAGTCTTTTTGTGCTGGCTTTGCGTAAGAGAAGAAATGATCCAGCTATTATTATTATTATTATTATTATGTTGAGAAAATGAGGAAAAAGAAAGTGGCAGCTGATTATGGAATTCTGAAAACGAAGGGGAAAAGGAGGTGGTGAGGAACGAGAAGAAATAGAGGAGAGAGATGAGGGATGGGTCACCCATCATTTATTTATTACGGAGTAAAAATCAATTAGTACTAAACATAGAAAAAAAATACTCGTTCCACAAAACCCTTCCTCATTCGTTTTTTTTTGAATTCTCTAAAACATTTCCACTTTCTATTAAAAACCCACTTTTACCCTTACTTTTTCATACCCTACCTATCACATCATACTTTTTTTCTAATAACCAAATTATCACATCTTACTTTTACCCATCACATCAGGGGCAAAATTAGAAAGTCAACCAAAATTACATTTTCCTTATTTTTGGCCAAAGTCAAAAGTGGAAGGGTTTAAAGGAATGGAGAGAGTATTAAAATATGACTTTTATATTTTTTTTTCGAAATAGGACTTTACACTATGATAATGTGACATAGTACATGTGCATACTATTATACTTTTTTGGTAATGTACATGACCATAGTTGGTAATGTAAGTCCTATTTCGGGAATAAAAACATAGTACATGTGCATATATTCAATGTTTTAGTACTACTTTTGTATTTCTCCCTTTATTTATCGACAACTTTAAATTAGAGTAAAAACATAAAGAAAGTGTCAAAATAAGAGTTTTATGTTTTAATATTTAAAATTAGAGTTTGCGTTGCGGTAATGTGGTACTGCATATGAATACTTTATAATATTTTTTGGTAATGTACATTGTCATAATTGACATTATGAATATATTTTAACTTTTATTTCATTAAATAAAAATATGAAACTCTTATTTTGGTATATTTTCAATATTTTATGCATACTTTAGTCTTCTTCTTTTTAGTAATAGAATACTTTAATCATTTCATTAATTAATTAGTGTGTAATGTGTAATTTCTTGTAAATTATTTTATTTATGAATAAGTATTAAAATATAAAGTACAAATTACATATTTTAAAAATGCAATAGAAATTTTATGAACTAAGATGTGACAAAAATGGTTATTTTATTAAATTATCAACAAAAAAAGCACTAATAAAGAAAAGTTATTGTGGAATCAGGATGATAAGTGAGACACACTACATACCCGTTCAATTGGTTAGACAGTGTTTCTCGTACATTCACGGTAAGTACTAATTTACGAATAACTAAATACTCATTTTACTAAAATTCAATTATACTTAAAAATGAACATCTAGTTACTTAAAATGAGTATTCAATTATTGGAAAATGAATGTTCTCAAAAGTAAATATTTATTTAGATCTCGGATATATATCATACTTCCTCCGTTCCACAAAACTCTTCTTCTTTCGTTTTTTTGCTTTCCACAAAACACTTCCACTTTCTATTAAAAAACCACTTTTACTCTTACTTTTTCATACCCTACATATCACATCATATTTTTTCACTAATAACTAAACTATCACATCTTACTTTTTTCCATCACATCAGGGGAAAAATTGGAAAGTCAACCAAAATTACACTTTCCTTATTTTTCCCCAAAGTCAAAACCGAAAGGGTTTTGTGGAACGGAGGGAGTACATCTAGATATATATTGTACTTTCTCCGTGTCGAAATGATTTACACACTTTACTATCCAAAAATCGTGGTAACTTTTGTTTATATGTGTGTTTTTATTGAGTATTTGATGAAACAAAATATTTTTGTGACATCTTGTTTTGTAAAAATTTTAATATACTTTTTAAATATATAGATTTTATACATTATTTGCATACCAATCTTTAAATAGAATAAATTAGAAAAACTTGAAATTTTGTTTTGTTTTAGGCAAAGAATAAATAATTTAGGGAAGGAGTAAGTACTCCCTCTGTCCACAAATAAATTTTATGTTCACTATTTACAGGGTCAAACTTTATTTACTTTGTTGGCCTATTTTCGTCACACATTTGATAAAATAATATATTCATGTCACCTCTAATTTTGTAGATCTTTTGATATAGTTTTTTACTCGTAATATGTAATTTTTATTTTTCAATTCTAAACCATTTTTCATATAAAATAATTTGAAAATAACTTCATTCATAACTCGTACGTGCAAACATTAATAACTCCTTAATGAAGAGCGCTTCCGTACTCCTCATGTACTCCTTGATATTTTTCTTTAAGACATTCTTTAATTAATTACATTATCTAAAACCTGTTCTCTTTAAATTTCAAACTTAGAGTTTTATATTTTGGAGCATGCTACATGTGCACCAAAATTTGTACTCTATTTGTACACCAAAGGTATGCACTAATATTTTGATGATTTACACTGACACAAAGTATTGGTGCGTTAACAAAAATTTATACTGACACAAAGTGTTGATTAACAAAAATTAGCATTACACTAATACAAAATGTTGGTACATCTCTACGGTGTACAAAATAGAATACAAATTCTTGGATTACAAATAGCATTATCCTTATATTTTATATTGAAAAAATGCTTTTTAATTCTCACGTTTGTTGATCATAAATAATTTTAACTAACAATTTCTTTGTAGAAACTATAAAGTATAGATTTCGGCAAAAGTCAATTTTCATATTAGTATGGCCATGTTTAACAACCAAGTCATTATTTTTAGGTGACGATGATTTTCTTTTAAAAAAACCTCAAAGTATTTACTCATGATGAGATTTCAACCAAAGTACTAGGGTGAAACGAAGAACTGAACGAGAATAACAATAATATAAATGAAATATAGGATCCTCGTATTCTTGTATTAGCTAGATTCAATTGAGAGGGAGGATTCACATCTTATTTATAGTCTAATTACATCGTATACAATGTATGGAATTTCGTGCGCTACATTATCGGTAAATAAGCTATCATGCATCAATCGTGGCGGATAATCATGTAACGACCCAAAAACCGGCTTAGTAGTTAGCCATTATTTTAATAAAAATAAATATATTATTTTTTGACTTAAAAATATGAACTATTTGTAAAACTGTCCATTTTAATTAAAAATTAGATTTTCGGATAGGTTTCAGAGAATGGTGACGAACGGTATAAATTTTGTTAGATTTGGACATATGTGTAAAACGTGATGAGTAAACTAGATATTAGAGTTTAATAGATGTAAACTAGATTTTATAATATAATATTATTTTTTTAATAATAATAACAATCAAACCTACTTTTTACCAACAGGAAAAAGTTCCCGCCTAAGTCAATAAGATAAAGCAGAGCAGAAGGTTGGGGCTAAAATCTCACCATTCTATTCCTTCTGTTTTTGGATAAGGCCAACCCTTATCTCTGTCAAACTAAGGAGAGCTATGAAAGGGATAAAATCTACTCACCATAATATTTCTTCTTCTTCTTCTTCTTCTTCTTCTTCTTCTGAGCAGGAAATATATTCCAACACAAACGGGAATAATAGAAAAGATAAGCACTGACATTCCAGGGAATAATGACCACCTGTAGCATAAATAGATACGTCACTTAAACATTTATTTTTGATTGTTTGAAGCGGCTATATAGAAAAGGAAGCATCCACGTTGCAACTTCTTCATAATAGAGTTATATTTTAGGTGAGCTTCGAGAAATAATAAACAAACCCCACTGGGTTTACTCCAAGGTCCTGATATCCGGACTCGGGTTCTATTCCTATCGGGTCTCGAAATCACATTTGTGCCTCACTGGGTTTACTCCAAGGTCCTGATATCCATCAATTCCTTCGGTGCCTAAACAAATGACATGTTGATAAAAGTCGATGAGCAGATCATGATCGCGTGAGGGGGACACACGCCTGCATGCGCATTTGCGTGATAGGAGGAGAGAACATTAGACATATATATTTATTTTTTTTGTTTCTTTTTCGACGTGGGAGAAACCTACCAAGACCCCCCTCAAGTGCAACTACATGGCCCCCATTTTTTACCAATTGCGCTTGACGGTCTTTTTGCCTTGTGACCGGCCAACACAATAGACTAGGAGTTAAATCCATATTAAACTTGCTCTGATACCATGATAAAAGTCCAATACACCAATCATAGCGTGGGGAGACACACAAAGTTCATGCGCATTTGCACAATAAGCCTAACACAAAAGCTCATAAGGATTCCATTATTAAAATGAATTCGAATTTACCAAACTTTTATATACCAAACTATATATTAAAATGAATTCGAATTTACGAAATGTACATTATTGTAAGAAAGTCATCAATTCAATACATTTATTTGGAGATAGGAGATGTTTTTTTCACTAAAAATTATGTTTAAATATTAAATGATTAATATAGAAAAACAAGTAAGATGATAAAAATATTTATCTAAACTCATACATATTGAAATGCATATTCATAATACAGATACTGAATGGATGTTCGTACCTGAATAGCAATAGTAGTCATGCATTTCGTCAAAGTAAGGCATAGAAATATTTCATTTCACCAATACTGATTTCTTATATAAATGATTTCGAATGAAGCTAATTGGCAAGTGAAGCAAGCATTGTAATGTCAAATAACAATTACTTCGTATGCAGTTTAGTACATTAAATTTAGACAGAGTCGTAGGCACGGAATTTATACTCCGTAATTTATAAAAGTTTTGAATTAAAATTAACAAATATTGTAAAAGA